AATTTATATATTTTCCTCACAATTGGCATGGTAGGATTAACCTTTTTAGCATTTGATATACAAATAATAATTAATAAATTTGTTATTTCCTTTTTAGTGTCTTAATTATTTAAAAAAATTATTAATTTGTCTCAACAGTCAGTACATACAAGAAGGCACCTACAGTATTTTAGTATGTCCAGGAACTCTTCATCCAATTTTGATGTGGGTTGTGAGTGGGATCTGATGGTGTAGGGTTCCTAGTGCACCATTATGATGTAGGGAGCTAGCAGAGTATTTACCTGAAAATAATAGTTTTGAATATTGTAGAGAAGGGTGAGAGAGCCGGGAAAGAGATAAATGATGGAAAACTTAGTTTTGGTGATCATGGTGACAAACTGTTATAACCTGTGTGGAACATTGTCATTCTCCAGTTTTACATCTCATAACCTAGTTGTGACACAGTAATAATTATCATATATGACTGGTACATCTCCAGATCCCTGTGCAGACGAGGAGTCACAATAACGTGGCCGAAACATGTTGACCAGACCACACACTGGAAAGTGAAGGGACAACGACGTTTTGGTCCATCCTGGACCATTCTCAAGTGGATCGATTTGAGAAGGGTCTAGGACGGACCGAAAAGTCGTCGTTCCTTCACTTTCTAGTGTGTGGTCTGGTCTCCAGATCCCTGTTTGAATTCTATTTTTTTTTATATTTTAGTATGCTTGACTGGATACATAGACAGAATGTACCTGGTTGCCAAATATGTAACAGAATGAAGAGGAAAGTATGTGCGTGTGTGTCTTTGCTTGAATCATGGGTCATATAGTTTATTCTCAAGTTATATTGGGCGAGAAAGGTCTGCATTTTTTTTTTCATTAGATGTGAAGAGGATTTCTTTCTTTATTTAAACTATATGAAGAATTTGTCCATTATAGTAACATGCAAGGTTTACATTATTTCCTTCTTAATATGTTCTTTTCTTGATGTTATTTGTTAATTTTTATATGGAAAATTACCTAAGTGTAGTTACAGGATGAGTGCTACGTTCGTGGTGTCCCGTCTTCCCAGCACTCTTGTCATATAACGCTTCGAAACTACTGACGGTCTTGGCCTCCACCACCTTCTTACTTAACTTGTTTCAACCGTCTACCACTCTGTTTGCGAAAGGGAATTTTCTTATATTTCTTCGGCATCTTTGTTTAGTTAGTTTAAATCTATGACCTCTTGTTCTTGAAGTTCCAGGTCTCAGAAAATGTTCCCTATCAATTTTATAAATTCCTGTTACTATTTTGTACGTAGTGATCATATCACCTCTTTTTTTTTTCTTCTGTCTTCTAGCTTTGACATATTTAATGCCTCTAATATCTCTTCGTAGCTCTTGTCCTTCAGTTCTGGGAGCCACTTAGTGGCATGTCTTTGCACCTTTTCCAGTTTGTTGATGTGCTTCTTTAGATATGGGCACCATACAACCGCTGCATATTCCAGCTTGGTCTAACAAAAGTCGTGAACAATTTCTTCAGTATTTCGTCATTCATATACAGTATTTAAAAGCAGTTCTGAAGTTAGAAAGTGTAGCATAGGCCCCTCGCACAATGTTCTTAATGTGGTTCTCAGGTGATAGTTTTCTATCTAGACCTACCACTAGATCTCTTTCTTTAGTGGTACTTTACTTTTTTTGTTATTGTACAGTATATACACTAATATTATTTGGATAATTTTTGTAGATTACTTAAAGGATACTATTAATACTTCATGATGAGCACAACTATTGAAAGATTACTGCTATTTACAGAATATTTCTATGTAGGATACTGCCACTTACAGAATATTCTATGTAGGATACTGCCACTTACAGAATATTCTATGTAGGATACTGCCACTTACAGAATATTCTATGTAGGATACTGCCACTTACAGAATATTCTATGATACTATTCTATGTAGGATACTGCCACTTATAGCTGCCACTTACAGAATATTCTATGTACTGCCACTTACAGATATTCTATGTAGGATACTGCCACTTACAGAATATTCTATATACTGCCACTTACAGATACTATTCTATGTAGGATACTGCCACTTACAGAATATTCAGAATATTCTATGTAGGATACTGCCACTTACAGAATATTCTATGTAGGATACTGCCACTTACAGAATATTCTATGTAGGATACTGCCACTTACAGAATATTCTATGTAGGATACTGCCACTTACAGAATATTCTATGTAGGATACTGCTAATTAGAGTATATGACTACAACTGCAATTGATGCTCCTGCTAAATCCCACAAGCCAAACTAGATAAGAGAAGAAACACAGGGAATATGATAACATAGAATATATTGAAGGGGAATAGACAAGTTGAACCTCTGTCAATTGAACAAAATAGAAGAATACAAATTTGGAACCTGGAAATGCAAATTTTGTAAGTGTAAAGAAATATTCAAACCCAGTATGGTTAGTCAACAAGTGGAATGCTCTGACAGAAGAAGTGGAAGCCACCTCCATCCACAACTTTAAGGCTAGAGTCAACAAAGAATCTGAATGCCAGAATTGTTAAATTATAATGCAAGAGGTACAAGAAGCCTAGTAGGCAGGGTATAAGTGCTAGATCTCACTCCCATGTTGTGACTGATAGGTAAGCACAATCTTTCCCCGCTCTCCTCTTCCTCTTCATTCCTACTGCGGTCTCTCAGTCCTGATTGTTCATCACTCCTGCTGCTGCTGCAGCACATTCCTCCAGCTGCTCCTCATTACTGCTGCTTCATTCCTGCTGCTGTTGCTGCACATTCCTGTTGCTTCATTCCTGTTGCTGCTGCAGCACATTCCTCCAGCTGCTGCTCATTACTGCTACTTCATTCCTGCCACTGTTGCTGCACATTCCTGTTGCTTCATTCCTGTTGCTGCTGCACATTCCTGTTGCTTCATTCCTGTTGCTGCTGCAGCACATTCCTCCAGCTGCTCCTCATTACTGCTGCTTCATTCCTGCCACTGTTGCTGCACATCCCTGTTGCTTCATTCCTGCTGCTGCTGTTGCACATTTCTGTTGCTTCATTCCTGCTGCTGCTCGTCATTACTGCTGCTTCATAGGAGTGAGCTAGCGAACGGTGATCACAAAGAAATCAGATTTAGCATAGAATGGAATAGATCTGTAGGAGAAAATTCTGTTAAAAGTGCCAGATTTTCGAAAAGCTGATTTTAATTGCATAAGAATTAGAAACCTGTCATATGAAGTGAAATAAACAAAGCTTAAATTGCATTCACTGGAAAGGCAAAGAGTTAGGGGTGACATGATAGAGGTTTACAAGTGGGTGAATGGACATAACAAAGGGGATATTAATAGTGTATTAAAAGTATCAACACAAGACAGAACATGAAACAATGGGTGTAAATCGGATATGTTTAGATTTAGGAAAGACTTGGGTTAAATACTGGTTCTCTAACGGGGTTGTTGATTTGTGGAACCACTTACCGTGTAACGTGGTGGGGGGGGGGGGGTCCCTCGATTGTTTCAAACGTGGGTTGGACATGTGTATGAGTGGGATTGGGTGGTTATAAATAGGAGATGCCTTGTGTGAGCCAATAGGTCCTTCTGCAGTTACCTTTGTTCTTATGTTCATTCCTGTTGCTGCTCTTCATTGCTGCTGCTTCATTCCTGTTGCTGTTGGTCATTACTGTTGCATCATTCCTGTTGCTGCATCTCCTCATTACTGTTGCTTCATTCCTGCTGCTGCTGCTCATTATGGGTTCATCATTCCTGCTGTTGATCCTAATTTGTGTTCATCATTACTATTCTTCCTTCCTTCCTCCCTCCCCTCCCTCCCTCCCTCCCTCCCTCCCTCGCACCCTCTTCCTTCTCCATACTTTTTCTTCCGATTCCTCTTTTCCCTTTCTCCAAATCCTCCTCATTGCCCTTTTTTCTGTTTCCTCCTCCTCCTCCTCATCTTTTCCTTTTTACCTAAGAATTGTGTTACATGTTTCACATTTTACAATGATAGTACATACATATGTTCGCTCACACACACACACACACACACACACACACACACACACACACACACACACACACACACACACACACACACACACACACACAAACAAACAAACAAACAAACAAACAAACAAGTCAGTGTGAGTAGGCCTCACTGTCTTGCCCTCTCTCTCTCTCTCACGTTCTCCCATGCTTACAATTACCCTCATCATCCTTAGTTAAGATAATTCTGTGCAATATTGAATATCTTGCATGGTACTTTTGGCCGTTACTACATGATTGTTTACTACAACTTTATTATTACTGCTACTACCTCTAACTACTACTACCTATTACTACTACTACTACCTATTACTACTACTACTACCTATTACTACTACTACCTGTTATCACTATTACCATTAACTACTACATCATGGCTACAGCTGCTACCAATTTGACAAGTATAGTAATGTGATAAATGACTATTACAGTACTGCTAATGCTTGACTACAACTCTCTATAACACTGTAATGACTAGAGCCTGGTACCTGTTTATATAGTGCTAATGTTGTTACTCCTGGTGTTATTACTACCAACACCACAACTACTTCTGTAACCACACTTACTGTTATTGCCCCCTATAACAACCAATACTACTTCATCTATATTTTAAATTTATTTATTTTAACTCTTCTTCCCTCACTTGTAGAGTGCGTGCGACTCTTCTCTCTTTGCTCGTACAATCTGTAAGGTAAACCAGAGAGAAAGTATTGGAAATGGTGTTACCGTTGTGTGAGATAGAGGTGGCATCGGTGAACTTGTTGTTGTTGTTGTTGGCTCACGGCAACAATATTTTCTGTTTGGTTGGCCACTTTCACCACTGCATGCTTAATATAATTTTAATTTGTTTTTCAGATAAGGATTTTGTAAATACTTAAAGATTTTCATAAAGTAATTGATGACAATCACTAAGATTAATTGACTTCCTGTTATCACAGACAAATGCAAATGCCAGGTTTCTTCTTCGTTGCAGAATTATTTCGTCAATCGTATCCGAGCACAGAATCTCTGCCCACAACTGTGTCTTCCCGCTCAAAGGTTTCCACCCAGCCCTCGGACCTGGAGCCTACTTATCCTCCCCTCCCTCCATACCCTCCCCCTCCTCCTTCAACTTCTCCACCACCTTATAGTTATGCCACACGTGACCAATCCTTTGATGGTGGGAGCGGGGGCTCATACCAACAACGGGACGGGGCCGCTTCCCCCTCCCCACGTGACCGACCCCCGCCATACTCATTTGCCCCACGTACCCTGCCCCATGACATGAATAAACCCCAACCCGCCCCTAGACACCAGTTCTTTAAGGCAGAGAGTTTGACGCTCGACCATGGGGCCTCTGACCGAGACTACCTCATGATACGAGAGCGCGCAGACAGGGGTGAATATCCTCTTTTGCTCTGTTACACTCTGGCACACTTTATTATTTTGGCTTGTCACTGTAAAACAATTATTTAGCTTGCTACTACATTACAGTATACTGTATATTACACCAATACCTCAATCATCCAGGATTAGCTCAAGTACATAATCACTTTCTAGCAAGTTGAACAAATACATTCATGATCATTTCATAGTTTATGCCGGAATAAACCATGGAAGAAACGTATTTGAATGCATAGCTTCACCGATTTATATTACGGATAATGGGGTCCCAGATAATCCAGGTAGTGGTGTATGGGGATAGACAAGAGCCTGGGTGCATGAGTTACCCGGGATGCTGAACTCTAGTTCTTAATAAATCTCCTCATTTTGTTAAGTTTTTCTCTGTATTAAATTGTAGTTCAAATTGGAAAATAAACTTTACCAGCGCATGAATCTAAAATTCTAGAAGATGAAAGCCGAGGCATTCTTCACGTGTGGGCTAGTATGTTTAATTTCTCCACTTACCATAATATGAACTTTGTATTTACAGTCCTAGATTCTGCCTTTTATTTTCTTTAGCTTTCCTATTACAATCATTCTTTAGAGTGAATTGTGAATACAGTATTATTAATTATTCTCCCCCTAGCATTTTTTAAAGTTTTTATTATTTAATATTAACTCTACTTTCCTGCTTTATTTGATAACAATCTCTGTCTCTGTCTTTCTCTGTCTCTCCATCTCCATCTTTCTCTCACACATTTATTAATTTATTGTTCATCGCACTTGAAATAAATTATAGTACTGACATGAGGGTATGATAACAAATGATGTTTTTCAGCCCATTTGAAAAGAATTACCCTTTTTTCAGGTTGGTAAAGTAATATGATAGAGAGCAACTAAGTAGCCCTTTATATATATAGATTTGGTTTTGACTGAAATAAAGGAGCCCTTCAGAGCCTCAGTGAATGGGTTGGTTTATCCCTATTCAGTCATTCTCTGGTGAATGAGGTTTAGTGTGTTCGATCTGTATTGATCTGGTATATGTGAAATGGTAGTTTTGTTGACTATTGGTATGTAGCAGGTACACCGCTGTGCTTTTCATACTGTATGTTGTGTATACCGCATGATACTACTTGTGTTTGCATGTTGAAGCTCGGTTGTGCTTGTTTAATTGACGGAAGGACTCCTTGTTTCTGTGTAGTTAGTACTTCGACACTTTTCGTCCAAATGTTAGATTTTGCCGTGAAGAACAATGGCTTTTTACATACAGTAATAGTAATTTCATATAAATAATTTTTAGTTTGATGAGAACATGTAAAGGGTTTTTCACAAGTTATTACTTAAAGTGTTTTCTTATAATTCTTGGTACAGTTCTTGAGTTCAAAATTATTAAATGTAAAAGTGTTCTTTGGTTATTATTGATCCTGCAGTTAAGAAAATAATACTTTATATCATAAAATTGTAGTCTAATTAGCAATTCTTATTAAGAGTGCTTTATGATTTTGACAGTTTTGTTTCTAAAATATATGTTGTGTTTAATATCTAGAGAAATCCTTTGCGTATTGGTTTGACAGTCCCAATTATTTTGCCAAATAAATCTCCCAGTGTAGATTCTAGAAATTTTTTGTCTTGGTATCGAACCAGGATGAGAAGATGGGTTTTGAGTGATACATTGAAAACTAATACGAATAGTTGCACCCAAATTCTACACACGTGGTGAGATGTTAGAGCAGCGGTCACCAACCTTTCGGAGCTCACGGATTACCAAATTTCATGATTTTAAATCCTGCGGGCTACTGATGTGAATCCCACGGTCTACCAGACAGGAAATACTAGTTATTAAAGTCAAACTATTTGATGCCATTAAATATAACGGTTAAAGGAAATAGTTACATACAATACACAAATAAAATTGTCTCGCAGACCACCGGTTGGCGACCGCTGAGCGAAAATATATTCTAGCTGTCTGTTGAAAGCAATACTTTTAATTGTTTTATAATGGAACTAATTATTTTTGAAACAGATGTTAAATAATGTATACATAAAGAAGCTCAAATATGATGTCGTATAGGTGCCATAAACAATTATAGAACACTGTATGAATATCTGTGGCCCATGACATTTCAGCTTCCTACCAAAAGATACAAGAAATATTGCCATAATAAAGGTTGATTTTTTTTTTAAAGTGGGAATTAGATTCCTAAAAGGGATTATCAGATAACGTGGATTATGATACCTATGTGGGCCTGTGGTCATTACCAGCAACAGCTCTGTCAGTCAAGAAATTGCCAGAAAAACCTGGCCTCACTCCAGAATTTTGGAGTACTGAAGAACAGTTCTTGAAACAGTCACAGGTAAACAATTCAACGTACTGTACTGTATAAGCTGGCTTATCTGGATTCCGCTAAACCGGATATTTGGGTTATTCGGCCAAAATCCCATCTGGATAATTTTCTGCAAAACTTCGCAGTATCCGAATGGTGATCTGGATAACCAGAGGTTTGGCCAGATACCGCAGACAGGCATAAAGTTAAAATGAAGTCTGGATAATTGTCTGACAAAACTTCTCCATATCTGGACTGAAATCCCGATAACCAGAGATTGTTACGTAAATTTTCAAGAATTACACATTTCAATATCTCCATTATCAAACAAGAAGACAAACTGCAACAAGGTAAGCGTTAGTTTCTCAGTTAAATTATATTTTTGATTTATAGTGTGTGTTGAAGCTCAAATTATGTTGGTTGAGGTACACAAAATTGTGAAAATGGTCATTTTTGGACTTGTCCTGTAAATATTCTGCTTATCCAAATGTCAGGGATATCCGTTCGGGGAGCCTTCCCATATAGTCCGGATAATCGAGCTCATATAGGTCTGTACCATATTCGGATTTGGAATGTAAATATCCTGCAACCCAACTATATAGCATGTTGAAGTTCCAATCCAATCCCCCCAAAATGATAGTACTCATAGCCATAATTTGATTGAATGTACATATATGTACTGTTGGATCTAAAATCAGTTCACTTTTTGTATTACATATTAATTGAGTCCAAGAAAAAATAATCTGAAAACCAAACTTTAATGTTCCTAGGCCTAGTATACTGTAGCACATATATATTCTATATTTGGGCTAAGGTTGTGTGTATTAGGCCTAGAATTCCTTGGACAGATTAGGTTAGGTTCTTTAGTTACATTTCAGAATTTCTAGAATGCCATTTGAGGTCAGCAAGACAAAATGTTAACATCTCGGGGGCCCAGTTATTTATTAGTATAAATAGCTATGTTTCCACATGATGTTCTGTAATTTTCATCATCAAAATCGTAGATTTAATGTTGTAAATTTTTATAATTTCTGTGATCAAAGTGATCATCCCAAAAACTCATTCTTTTCCTTTGGATTGTATCGTTTTCTTTTAAATTTCACAGAAAATAATATTAATATGCAATATTCATTTTCTTTGTCCTGTGATAGAGCAGTCATTTTCAAACATTTCAATGCCAGAATATAAGCACATTATGATAAACCATGGTGAAGCTTACTACAATGCTGTAGTGCTTGAAGGAAGGTGAAGGAAAGGCCCAATATACAGTGGAATCTCGACTTATGAATGCCCCTACAGTACTTATGAATTTTTCGAGTTACAACCAAAATTTTGTTGGAAAATTCGACTCGACTTACGACCTTTGCCTCGACTTGCAACTTTGTTGATACACGTATGGGTCGACGGAGTGCGTTGTTCCTGGTGGCACGGGCGACCTGCTGAAGTTTACCAGAGCCACCTGCTTTGTGACGATCGCTCTTAAATTCTTTATAAAGAATTTCATTGTTTTTGTGCTGTTTTGTTTTTTGAACATAAAAGTAATTATTATATATCATGCCATGGGTCCCAAGAAAGTCAGTGGTAAGGTTCAACCTAAGAAAACACATGTGAGGATGACGATAGAGGAAATTAAGAAGTCGTGTGCAGTATGGAAAGAAATGCAAAGTTGTGTTGAAACGACTTGCCCAAATCAAGCTGCAGTAGGCCATTGCTTTAACGTTTTTAATGACAATGTGATGCCTCACCACAGACAAATGTTAAAACATAGGGAAAACAAGTCTATGGAAAGGTTCTTAGTGAGAAAAACAAGCAGTGAGCCACAACCAGGTCCTAGTGGTATGCTGGTAAACATAGGAAAGAGAGTACCCTAGAGAAGTCATCACTGTCTGATGTTATAATGGAAGGTGATGCCCCTTCCAAACACTAACACCTTCTCCTCTCTCTCAATCGTAAGTCGAGGCCCCACTGTAGTTTAGCATTATCAGCTCACATAATTCCATATTCCTTCTGGTAGATTGATTATATGTGTAATTACCTAAGTGTAGTTACAGGATGAGCCATGCTAGTTGTGTCCTGTCTTTCCAGTACTCTGTAGTACTCTGTACAGTGTGTGTGTGTGTGTGTGTGTGCGCGTGTGTGTGTAAGTAAAATTTATCTCTATGTATAGAAACAGTTCTAATGGGTGGTTCACTTTTTCAAAAGTTAAAGCAATTTTTTTTTTTTGTCAATAATGTGATTTTATTTTGTATTACTGTAGCAAAGAATTAGGCTTACTCGTATTCAGCAAGATTTTTTTGGAGAGAGAAGTGAAATGTTCATAGCATTAAATTTTAGTATCATGTGATTTAATGGTATGTAAATATTTTAAATACAATTTCTAGATAATGAATGGTATACAAACCCCCCATATGCAATATTTGTACTAAGAAGTCAATTGTGGTGTGTATATAATCTTCATGACCGATGCTGGGCTTTAAAAACAAGTTTTAGTGAGTGCCATTTAAATTAGTATATTAAAATTATCCAGTTATAACTTATGTGAGAAATGTTTGTGATGCATTGCTTGTCAATATGAGAGGTGGCCTGTGAGGATTGCATTACTAATAACAGGTAACATTTAGCTTAGATATGTTAGGGAAATTTGTTGAGTGTGACATTTCCCAGTAGACGGCAGCAGAGTCCGGAGTGAGGA